GGGTCATCCGAACTCAGTTGTAACACTTTGGATAAACCATGGAGGAAGGACACAGAAGGAGTTTGAACTGCCCGGGCTATAACATCTGGCCAATTACAACTTTCTGGCATGCCCAGTATGTCCATAGCCAGAGCGCAGCGCACACCTGCTACCCACCACCTGTTTTGCAACCATAAGCTCCCTTTGTACCCCATGATCGTCGCCGCAATTTTTCGTTGGTAATCTGCATCCCTAAAACGTTGTGTACTGCAGTATAGGAAGTTGAATATTCATGCCATCGTTGGTGCTTCATGTGAACCGACAACATCATCAAATGTAGTGTTTGCGCAGTTGCTTTTATTAAGCTGTATACCCGAAGTGTTCATGTGCAGTTGTTGCCCTTATCGTATTTTATGCGATTTCACGATCTCTCCTTGTGATGAAATAGCGCATTTTGTTGCTAATGAACTAAGCTTTCCAGTAGTAGTGAACGTTTTGTTGGCCAGTCTTAGCCAAATTCGTTCCAATTCTTTGACAATGATGTATATTGGACGGAGGATACTAGAATTACAAACTTTGCATGGATAATGAAACAGTGTGTCAAAATTTAAAAAGTTTATTTATGATGGCAAAAGTAGGTCTAATATCAGGAATTTTTCTCTCTCTATTTCCTGGTCACATCGATAGCTTGTATTTAATTGCAAGCAAAAAACTACAAGTATTACTGGCCCCACTTGTCCAGCTAAGATGCAGGCAGCAATAAGGCATTTTTGGAATATTTTCTATTATTCGTCAGACTCGGTGGCGACCATCATTGGACGCTTTGAAGTGCCTGAGTTACAACTCCTTCTGTGTCCTTCCTCCCTGCTCGATCTGGGAACAGTTCCTGCAGGAGATTCCTCACAGCGATGAGCCTGTGTGCGGGTGCCCCGTCTTGGGCCCACCACAGATATCGGAAAACACCATTTTCATGCCGTTGAAAATGCATATGAAGTTGGGGTACCACGTCGTCGTTGATCATGTGCATGTACGGTTGACCATTCATATTCCGTTCGAAAAAGAATGGTCCGATAATGACACCATTCCCACACAGTCCTACCCAAACGGTGACCTTCTCACGACTCATGTTGGTTTCAAAGTGAAAATTTGGCAGGTGCCCCTTCGGTGCGTATTCGACGTTGTTATGGGTGTTAACTTCTCCGTTCTTCCCAAATGTTGCCTCATGACCGATTGTCAACCATTTAACCCCTTTCCTTAGGGTTTGGTTATTTTCTAGGACACACTGTAGAGGCAAAGGTGGAAAAGGTCCGCCGGTAGAACTCGGGTGTCAGGGTGACTGATGGGCCAGCTTTCCCATCGGCTCCACGAGGTTGCATATTTGGCTGTGGTGGAGTAGGCTTTGGCTGAAGCTAGCAGATTGGGTAGTGTGTGGATGGCGAAGTCTTTCAAGTAACGGTCTTCAAGATGAGCTAGGGATTGGTTCCATATCTCTGTGAAAAGCGAACAGAACAGAGGCAACAACTGTTATCGCCATAGACAACACGAAACCTATTTCAACAAGGTTATGCTTTCTGTCGCCCCCACTTTTTATTATCATAAATGCAAGGACTGTCACAGTCCTACACGCAGTAAGGCGTGATACCGCCGCCAAACTCATTACAGGAATAATACGGGAATAATACGGGAAAAGAAAATGTAAAATGTTTCTGCATAGAAAAAAAGTAAATAAATAATTCAAACTGACGCCCCACGCCGGCAAGGGCGTCTGGCATCTGTCCGGCACGAGGCTGGCGCACGGAGGCCACGAAAAATCCCTTGTTTTGAAGAGGAAACGTGGTTACAACCAAGGATACCAAATTAAGGTGCACTCCCCTGCCATTGATACCCTGCACGATATGGGGCGGAGGAGGACCCCCCACACACACCCAAGTGTGTATTTGCCTGCAAAAGGGGACCCCCTATTGTTCCTCTTTTGTTTGTACTTTTGAAAGGACCCCCCATATGTTTTGTACACAGTTGTCAATCGGGGACCCTCTGTCAATCGGGGACCTTGTTGTCCTCTATTGTTCAAGGTCCCCAATTGAATGCAGAAACAAACTCACTCACACTAATCCACAGATGTCCACTCCCTGTACACGCTCTAGATTATTGTTACCTAACACATCCCCCCTGGATGTCTGTAAAGAATTTTTGAGATTCCCATCAAACACTGACCAACACAAAGGTGGGGGGTTGCTCTCCGCCCTATATCTTGCATCATACGCTGCCATTGCCGTGTGGCTGCCATCATACCTGAAATGCTTAGAGAAGGTAGGGGAGGGTAAGCGATGTTTCAGCGCTTGAACCGAGAAGGAAGCCCTAGGGCGTGTACGCTAGTTATAAATCCAAACGCTAGCAAACATAACCATGAAATTACCCAACAAGCTCAATTGAGCGTGCATGTCGTTCGATACCGAAAAGAAATGGCACTACCCAATGTCTGAAAATCACTTCGTATTTACTCAATTTTGCCAACAAGAAAAAAAAACAAAAGTATCAGAAATATCTTTGGAATAATTATGACTAGGTAAATATAAAACAGAATTCCTCATTTTAGTTTGTTCGTCGTTAAAAACAAAGCTTTGTTGTCGTAGTGCGTACAGATTTTAATATTAAAATTGTCCTTCCTCATCGGTGTAGATGTTGAAGGCGACCGGGTGTTAACAATTCCTTTGCCTACTTCTACATTAAACTTAACTCGATGAGAGCACCAATCGACAAGTTGAAAGTTTTCCGTTTGTAGCTATGTTTTCATGAGATTTATTTTGTTGTGTACCTATTTCAAGAAAGTTTTAATTTTTTTTTTCTCAGAGGCTTGTCATACAATCGCCATGGAGGACATTCTCTACCTGGGAGACAAGTACTTTTACACTCCTTATATCTACCCAGAATGGTGGCCAGAAGACGACTGGAAACGACAACTGATAGGAATCCTCATCTTCAACTGGATTGGCCAATATATTTTGTATTTCGTTCTTGGTTTGATGGACTACATTTTTGTCTTTGATCATCGACTGACGAAACATCCTTTATATATAAAGGTGAGATTTTGGAATAAACTCTTGACAAATTGTAGGGCCTATTGAAAAAGTATCCTGAATTAAATTACACCGAAAGGCCTTACACTTAAAAGTAATGTTTTCCTTATTCGTTCTTTCCTTATTTTTCTACTGTGTTTGCACCTGCAACACGGTAAATGAAGTTGAGTGCATGCCGTGTGCGTAAAAGATGCCTGAATGCTACGGATATCCTGCAATATCGAAAGTAGGCTACTACCCTACAGTTTATGTTATGGTATAAAATAACTGACTATTTAGTGGAATATTTTTAATATTTCAGGATCAGATGAAGCTGGAGATCAAATATTGTCTGAAAAATATGGTTTTCCAGACGGCTGTCTTTGCGCCTATTTTTCTGAGTGAAGTGCGAGGTTACAGTCGCCTGCATCAAGAATTCAACAGGGGAATATTTGGTCAGTTTTGTACTAAGATTCAAATTTCCTGTGCTTGCTCAGTCTTAGCCCTGGATGCAGATATTTACTTTAGATTTCTTTGGGCAACTTCAGATTTTAGCTGTCGGGATTGTTGTTTTTTCTAGCAATTTTTAATGAATTAACGTTTTATCATAATAAGTTCCGGTCTGATTACGTCATCAGCCCAAATTTTTGCACACACGTTGCAGGCTAAGGTCATTGTATCTACTAGTTTTCAAGCGATTCCGGCAAACTTCGCTACAGGCATTTCTTCAAAATAGATTTTTGAATATGTTCAACCTGTCAGTAGAGTGTGCTCGAGTGTAGCATGACGTTATCGTTGCATGATTAAGGAATACTTTTGTGTCGAAAAATAACACCGTTAAAAGTTGGTTCGTATCTATTTATTTTAAATCATAAAGCACTTCTGGTTTGGACCAGTTTCGATTGGAAGCAAGGTTCAAGTGATTTTGCGTACTTGAGAAAAACAAAGATGTAACACTATGCTACCACTTTGCGCAAACAACAAGCTTCAGGAGGTGACGGTTAATTTAATGTGGATTTATGAAGACTTGACATGAACAAATGTTAAGCGCTTGCAATTTGATACCTATTTGATTTTTCATCACGATTTAACCTTTGTAGAACATTTTTTGATGTCTTAGGCCTTTGTTTGTGTTACTTTGATGAAGTTACAAGGTTGCAAATTGGCCCCAAAGGCTTTACAAACGCGTGCAGAACATATTGGGTATAATTAAATATTTAAAACTCTAAATCTGGTGATGACTTCACAATGACGTCATGATTCGTCATACATCTTCCGATCACTGATGTTGATGGTGCTCATTACCAAAGTGTGCGTGCGCAAGATTTGCACTTAACAGCATAGCAACCGGCTGCCTGATTTCGCGCAGTCTGATTGGATATTCCTGAAACAGAGGATAAATAATGAAACATTTCATGACAAATCCAAATTACAACAATCATTTTATTTTTCACAAGCACTGATTTTATGCCCTGCCTCAGAAACAGTAATGAAAAATGTGGTTTTACATTACACCAAAATTATTTCAGTTTTCAACTAAAACAAAATGAGTGTTGCCAAATTTGATCACTATCTCATAAAAATGAGGTTGTCCTGGTTATAGAAACTCGATTCATATAATCTACAAGACTGACGGAATCCGCCGGATAAACACTTTTGTACACTAAGTTTGTATTTGAACCAAACTGTTAAGCCTAATTTTGTGAATTCAGACATTTTATAATGGAAAAAACCCGTCACATATCTCATCTAAAAATTTTATGTCCTAACAAAACTTAATTCTTATAGTCAGGAATTATTACTTTGTCAAGCTGTTGAAAAAAATAACAAAAAACAAAAAAACAAAACAAAAACATAAAATAGGATGCATTTGCACCGAACTTTTGGGCACACTTTTGAGTAACATTCTGGCTATGGCGAGTCGCCGGCAGCGGTGTATGCGTGTTTACATGTCTACATGTGACATGTACGTTTTCGTGCACATGTGCTGAGGCGGACGCGTCGACTTTGACGTCGGGGTACAGCACTGGTCCAAAACAGCGGAAGTGATGAACAGGAAATATCACTAATTTATCAATTCTACCTTATTAAAATCAGTACTAACGAAATCAGTACCATTTAAACAAAAATTACCATCCTCGCGTTTGTTAATAATAAATGAATACAAAAATGGCTTTGGCTTTGAGTGAATGTTTGTGCACCGTTGGATCGATACGATTTTGGAATGATTCAAAATGACCTGATTATTAAACATTTTATCCAGAGTATTCCAAATAAATGCCCGAAATCAATGAATTGAAGGTGAATATATTTGATGCTCTATGCTTGTCCCAGAAAACTTACTTTCTATTAAAAATTAATTGATGAAATGAGTACAAAATCTGGTAATTTCGATTTTTTTTCCTTTTTAGAAATAGTATAAAACTCACTTTTTTTTATAATGTTATGAAATTTACCTTCATTTCAAAATGTCACGAATGGAGAGAAATTGAGAGTTGTTCGTGGCTTCGTGTTAAGATCCTCCCAAAATTTATTTCTTGCTTCTACACTTTGGTATTTTACGAGGTCAGTCGTTGAAAAATTCCGCGCTATAACGCCGCCCGCTTGCAGGAAAAACTGTTATTTCCTTGAAATGAAGTGTGCATGCGCGGTTGTAATGAAAGTTATCTCTGTGGGCCAGGAACTTACGTGTGATTGTAGTCACAAAATATAAAAAAAGAAAAAAAAAAGAAAAGAAAAATGAGAAAAACAAAAGTTGTTTTGTTATATTTGGTGCAGATGCGACATTTTTCACCCAAACGAAACAGCGCCCTCCTTCTGTGTCCGTCAAACTTAAAATGGGCTACCGATGTTATCACTAACCTATATGTACATCGTGCAAACATTCAAGTCTCTTTGGACTCTCATGCATCTTTGTGAGAACCCTCTCATGATTATCAGAGTGTAATATCGAGTTCCTGCTCTCCACGGAGCTATTTTAGCTGATTTTAGAGATTGCTGTAGCGCTTTTGCAGTTTTTCCTTTTTCAACATAGTTCAATCGGCCACGGCTGAATAGCAGTGAATTTTGGGGAATGTAAAATTGAAAAGGTATAAGATATTGCTTTTGAGTCACGTTTACGGGCAATGAAAAGAGATGGGGAACATTCTTTAGTGTTTACCTTTTCTCCGAAAGGTGATTTTCCCAAACGAAACACAGAAAAATGGATCTGTCCTGTGCTGATTTTCGTCAGGGTTTGAAATGAAGCGGACCCTTGGAACTGGTTTGATTCAAGTGAATACTTTCTATATACTACTTTTTATATAAACCCACGGTTTGAAACGGTTTCCCTCTTTCCAGGACCCCTGAATCCATTGATGGAGATTATTGGCTTTGTCCTCTTCACCGACTTCACCAATTACTGGTTCCATCGATTCCTTCACCATCGTCTGATCTACAAGCGATTTCACAAACAGCATCACATGTGGAAGGTTCCCACTCCATTCTCTGGCTACACTCTCCACCCTGTGGACGGATTCTTCCAGGGAATCTCCTGGCACATCTACCCATTCCTCTTCCCTTTTAACAGCCGTCTCTTCCTGTGTTTCTTCCTCTTTATTCTGACCTGGTCCATCAGTATCCATGACAACCTCTGCGTCCTGCCCAAGTTTCTCCAGCCCATCATCAACGGAGCGGCACATCACACCGACCATCACATGTACTATAATTACAACTATGGTCAGTTCACCACCCTGTGGGATCGGGTCTTTGGATCGTATCGGGTGCCTGGTACCCACCGCGGTAAGGGACCATTGGATGATGTCCTTGCCCTAGGAGTAAAATCCGAAAATATGAACAACGGCAACAGCAATGGAAATGCCAAGACTCTGAAGGAAGAATAAGGTTAAATCATGTTAGTTATGTAAGTTACCAGTATGTCTTAAAGTTTGGTGCAAAAATATGTTTAAGTGACTGTACTATGACTACATTAGGGAATTTAATTAATAGAGACGACAAAATCAGTTCTCTGGTTTGTCTTGGTAATAGTGGTCTATTAATTAAATGGTATTTTTAAAATGAGTTCAAAGGTCATACGGGCAAATACCATCAGTTAGGAGACACTGCAGAATTTATCAGTAACTGAAATGTTAACATATCTTGGTCGAAGTAAGTTAAGTAATATTTTTGTAATTGTATTTCTTATCCTTACAGGGTAAAGTTTACAATTTGTTCAGAAGATGATCGATATGAACAAAATGAGACAATTGTTGGATTCTTGGCATCAGTCATGGATAATTCATATGTATGTTGCATTTAATACTAGTTACCGAAGCAGTCTTGGTGTAGTGGTTCTTTCCCTGCCTTACACTTCTTCCGGGTTTCCTTCCCAGCTCGGTGTACATGATTTGGCTGCAGTCCCTTGCTGATTCTCTCGGTCGGTTTTCCCGAGTATTGTCAGGGTTCTCCACCTCTTAAACTGTCATTTCTTCCCACTGCATTATCTTTACAAATTGCTGTTGGCTTTGAAACATTCTCTCAAAAAATCCTTATATAGTTTTATTATCAGATATGAATAATACACGATATACTGATAGTAGCTAGGCCCTAAAAAAGATAATATTGTATAATGTTTGGAAGGTTTTTTTCAATATATTTTTCATAGAGATTTATTTTATCATTTTTGTTGTTCCAGGTAAAGAAAAAACATTAAATGTTAATTAAAGCTAGTGTCTTTGAAGACTACATTTATTCCAAGTCTATCAGATACATTTGGATTTCTTACTCCACCTTGAGACAACTCTAAAATTGTCGTTGGACGTAGCGGACGGACAGACTGCATCACATTTTATAAAGGCAAACTATACTGTAGATGGATTTCTAATGATTTAAAGTGCCAAATTTGAATTACTTGCAATTTGATTTCTGATGACGTCATTGTGATGTCAGAGTAACATGCACTGCTCGGCATTACGTTCAAAGTTGTATAATAAACATTGTGTCCCAGAAAACATATGTAATTTACTTTCCGGAAAAATAAAGGAATAAAGAATGGAAAAAGCACAAAAAAGAAATGGAGATTAATTAGACTAGTTTTAAAACAAAGATTGGGTTCGCGTGGTTGGGTCACTCATACAATTCAGACAAGTCTAAATGGATTACTTGGTTGTGCCTATCCAACCAAAAAGAGACACCCAAGAAGATTACTAATACATGAAATAACGCGCACACTGTGCCAAAGCGTTGGGAGGCAGTTGGGCTACATGTATGGTCTATGTACTTTGTACAAAAGCATTGGATATTGAGCCATGCGCACGCTTACAATGGCTAATGCACTGATATCTACACTGTAAAAAGAGAACCCTTCAGTTTATAATTTGTACAGATTTTATCAGCACCTCCGAACGCGAGGTTAACTCATTATTTTTGTCTGAGAGTTTTTCAAGTAGAACCCTAAAAGGTAAATGATCAACACCGGCCATTTTCCTTAGGTCTACTGCAATGGTAGGTACTCAAAGGGACATTTATCCTCACTAGATAGCTGGAGGTGGGCGAGAATCGGCCGATTTACTGTGACTCTGTGAATTGAAGCCGATCATCCAACCTGTTGGCAACTTGAGACAAAAGTTCCTGAAAGCATTCAGATGCCAGGGTCGACAACGAATAAGATTCCAAAAACCAGAGAAAGCAGGATGATCTCATTATAAGCACATTTATGATGCCCAACGGATCAATCTATAAGGAGAGGCAGATTATCATCAAGGATAGTTTGAATTGGACTTTGACAAGCTCCTCTTAGTCAGCCTAAAAGGGGGGGCTGTGGATTGGGGAATCCATTGACCATACACCCATGAAAAAATCAATAAAACAGTCGGACTTCCAGCCTCTGCTTCCCATAAGTGGTTGCATTAAGTATACGATAACCCCAAACCAGACCAATTGCCATGTGACAGCATTCATCGGAATCGGATCACCAAATCGGTTGTCCGATTCCAGACAAAAGATGCCAACTATTTTAAGAAAAGCTTCAACTACGATAGCCTTTATTGTGATGACATTAAAACGAATTTTGTTTTAAACCTTTTTCGTTGTTTTTTGTGCACTTTTGTCAATATAGACACAAATATCGTTCGTATAAATAGCTCCTTGCAGATTTAGACATAATAACATTGGCTTCTATTTTTGGGAATCTTCATGGACATAAATTCCGACGTATGAGGGATATATACCCCTCCACTTTTCGACGAGGGGTTTGGGCTTTTGAATCACCCCCCCCCATGTTTTGTGTTGAGCAAAGAATGCCGATTTTGAAGCCTATACTGACTTCGAAAACGATCAGAAGTGGTTCAGTATCATCCAAAACGGGAAAACAATAGAAATCCATTACTATGCCGTTCTGATATAAGATTCTGCAGGAATGTAATACAATACAGATGTACATCTACAACATGAACAATGCCCCTTGCGTAGTGTTATATGGTGTCAGCCTCTTCCGCTGCATTTCATAAGTTCTAACCCCCCCCCGAATCCTCATCCCCACCCCCCATTTCTAGCAGAAGTATGCACCACTGGTCATCTGTCATTGTGATAGTGATTGCGTTTGCATCCAGTCCGTTACAGGATATATCCCACGCAGAGGTCTAATTGTGTCTGCAGCTGAATTTGTGAAATGTCTGTGTCCCTGAAAACTTGCGCACCGCTCGATTCCCCTGGACACATTGGCACAGTTAAAAAAAAATATGAAGCTGTTGAAAACGCGCATCATCTGCAGTGAAGTGCAACACGTAACGAGGTTAAAGACCTTCTACGGCAACTTTCCATTCTGCAACGAGAACAAGCGAACCAACAATAGGGTATCGGCAAATCGGCTTGGGACACAAAACGACGCAGACTCTTAATCTCAGTAATACTGTGTCAGTATAAAACCAATGACGTACAAAAAGGAAACTCACCAATATGCAACTTGAAGGTGGACCGCACCTACTGGGACAGTGTGCGGTATAAGTGAATTTCTGTTCAGTTGACGAAGGAGAATGTCTCAGGCCAGTATGGTGCGTGTGTTCCTTCTAGTTGTGGCACTGAGCCATACTGCTTTTGCATTCTCGCTGATGAAAAGATCGGTAAGTTTTGCAACCAGTACGAGGTTGTACTCGGGTACGATTTCAGTTAGTTATAAACTTGTCAGCACATTACCGCAGACTTAAAACGCATTGGGTGTATATATGACATGAATAAAGACAAATCCAGGTAGCTGGTTTCGCTGTTACTTTCAACTGTTGATATGTTTGGCGTAGTGGATTATGAATACACAGTGTCGACGTGAGTATTTGCTGTCAAAGAAACGTGAAAACAATGGCTCAAAGATTCCTGAATATGCAAAAATCAATTTGTTAATATGCCAATGTTGTGAAGTCCTCCGGAGACAATGCACTGTGGGGTGCAGGTTTATATTACAAAATATCCTTGTCGCAATATTTCTATTCATGAATATATATGAAAGTTATACCTGGTCGAGAGCCTGTCACGTGGTTAATAAAGCAGCGGCACGCAGACGATACATATGACATAGAGAGTAGGGGAATGAAAGAAATAAGCTGGTTGATCAAAATGGCCTCAGTTGATATTTATTACGTTTCGTTTGTCTATTCTCACAACTCAGTCCTAATAGACTTTTTATGACCGGTCAATATTGGCTCTAATTCAGTTTCCCCTTATTGTAAAATCCTTCTTTATCGTGATTCTTTCAATAGTGTGCAATGAGTCTCTGTTTTTCTACACACCTCTTAGCCACTTTGGTTACTTTATTTTCATGTTAACCTTGAAGAAGAAAGTATTACATAATCCGGTACTGCAATCCAAACAGTTCATTTCTTTGGTGCATTTATCTTTTATTACTGTGATTGATCGCGTCGCCTTCTCTTGCCTCAAGAAATACAGTCCCCATGCGGTTTGTAGGTATTATTGATTTTCAAATACCATGTAATACAGAAAATTGGCGTAATCTTTGATTCTATCATTTTTACTTTTTATAAATGGGGGTTTCGGTCATCCTGGCCACTGACGAAACTTGATACCCGACAACACACATAAAGGGAATGTTATGAATGGACCGCCAGATGACACTCCAGGCCTTATAAACACTTGTGTGGAAGTTGAGAATAATGCAAATGATCTATTACTGGAATGGGAGAACACATGATCACGAGGGCTCACTGCTCAACGTTGAAGGAATAAGCTACTTATACTTGCTAATTGTTCTGCCTTACAAGAAAAAATTTTCAATCGATTTCCTAAGAATAAGATGCAAGGTTTGGATTTGGACGAATTGTCATGTGTGTAATTCGTGCTTGTTTTTGTTTTTTGTTTTGTTTTGTTTTTTTGTTACAACACGTATGCTTAAGCTTCTTTGGAAACCTGTAATGTCTTCGTTTGAAGAACTCTATTTTCCACAGCAGAATTTCCATTTCAACACGTAAATCATGTCAAATGATTATTTTAATTTTTGGTCATCTTTAACTTTCTTTTATTACTACAAGTTCTTGTCTCATTTTGCACGTATTCCAGAGTGACGTGGACAATCATCTTTTGGAACTGTTGAAACGCATGGGAGTAAATGATGAAGGTAATTAATGATCACTTCAAATGGTTGGTCCAAGAGAAAATATTTGCATTACATGACTGAACATTGATCTCCTACAATGGTTGTTACTGCAAGAATGTTTGTGTGTTTAATGCTTGCATGTGGCACGATTTCAGACGAGTCATAATTAGGGCCCAAATGAACTTATTTTCTAAGAAAAAAGTTTTGTTCCAAAATCAAAGATGTTATAAGCGCAAAAATGATAGAAATGGATAATGATCACCGATGGCCAAAGCCGCTTGAAATTGTACTTCTAAAAGGGACAGGCCAAATTGGAGACTATGAAGTGCTTTACTTTTGTCTCGTGTAAAGCGTCTGATAGAGTGCACATTCCGAATCGTACAAACTACAGTATGTTTCCCTGGCGTCTCATACCTGCAGACCTGTGTTAATCCAAATGGTACAAGACTATTGGGGTTGCAAATAATGCTGGATTACAACAATTCGGACTTGTTGAATAATATTGCTATTATTTCACTGCTGGTACATAAAATACAAGAATTGTAACAAAGATTATAGCCCCTTGGAACATGCAGCAAGGTATGAGACGGAGAGAACCCCCCCCCCGCTTTGTGTTGGTCATTGTCGCAGGAATCTGGGGAATTCTTTTCAGACATCTTGGGGGGATGTGTTAAGTAACAATAGTCTGGGATGTGTATAGGGATTGGACATGTTGGGAGGGGGTTCCCCTCGGTCTCATTTCTTGCTGGGTTTACCTTGAAAAAGAAGAAAATGAAGGCATCACTCTTCCAGAAATGTATACAGATTGCAGATTGGGGACTGGAAAATAGCTAGGGTTGGATTCAAACACTGATTGTAAATGTGTGGGAGGTGAGAACATACAAGTTCAACAACCTGACTTTCCTATAGTCCCCTGTCATCAAAAGCAGAATTGGATGTAAAAAAAAGGTAAAAAAAAGTTAGATGCCTTTCAGTTAGTTTTCGTAATAGTGCAATGAACAAAATAAGGAACTGATGCAATTTGAAAAGAAGAAACCTGAAGTGCATTCTCTGCATTAATTCTTAGTAAGAAAGAAATGTTACAGATTCTTTTGTAAGTATAAATCTGAAGATTGAACAAACCTTTATGGTAGGCAATCAAGAGGTTCTACAGCAGCATTTGCCAATGTTTTTCTACAGTTTGTGGGTATGATATCTATTTTCCAGCATCCAAAGGTGAAAGAGAAGTGAAAATCTCGGGCGTTAATCTAGTTCAGAGTTCTGCTGTGGAAGGTTTCTCGGCATGGAAAGTTGCCTCAAAGGCAGTAGATGGTCGATACGATGACTCCAATTTTTTCGGTGCAGATGGATCAGAGTACGGTGGAAGTTGCACTGTAACGGGTAAGCTGTTTATATCTGTACATTATATCAGAAGTCAGGAGGAGTGTGAGTAGGGATGGGAAACACGCCCTTCTGTGTAATGCCCATGCCCTAGACGGGCCCTTACCGCACTGTTCCCTTACCGTTCTGTATTACCGTTTTACAAGCTGTGGTTCATCAATTTGTTTCCAGGTGTGGAGCGGATCCAGGATGGGCTATATTTAGTCTGCTTACAATATTTCGTAACAGGTGCCTTAACAAGTACACTGTCTGCGTTTCAAAACAATGCAAGTTCCCATTTCAGATAACCACCCTCCTCACTTTGACCATACTTTGCCAATCTTTTGTATGATATTAAGGGAAATGCGTACACATATGGTTTCCCCAAAATTATAGTCGGTATTCATTTTTCACTAATTAAACACCCCGTTGAAATGACAAAAGACGTTTTTCAGAAAGTTTCGTGCGCTAAGGTTATTAACTTCCAATTCATAAAACAAACATAATGCAGTGACATCCTTATAATATATAACATTAGTCCATTTGAAATTTTTCACATTTTGTAACGCTACGAATGACACCAAAAACTGAATCTTGTCCCATCGTTATCCTTGTAGAGTCGACCATGAATCATTCCTATAATAAGCTTCGATTCTCGATTGACTATTTGATATTCAGATTCCGAGAGCAATCCTTATTGGGGAACTGTCTTCGAAGAGGAAATCTGCATCAGCAGAGTCAGGATTTTAAATCGTGGAGATGGCTTCAGTAAGTAATTATTGACTCTACCCACTGAACATATTTCCTCTTTAGGATATGATGTCGTGTGGTGGCTGTGGTTTTCCGTTGTGGCAAAAATACGAAAATACGCGGTGTAAACGGTACCGTCGTGTGTTGGTTATACCACTATGTTATGTAGAGGATTAATGTAGAGTTCGTTGCCTCTGTATAGGAAGTACAATGACCGGATACAGGATCTCTGAAACTTCAAAAAAAAAAATCGTGGATGTAGAGGGCTGGAATATACACATCGTTTTCCATGCTGTGCTATTGCCTTGGTTCTGTTAATATGGTTAGATGATATGGTCCGCTGACATTTACCTGGAGTGATCAAGAAATTTAACAGATTCCTGCTTTAAATGACGACAGAGATTCTCAAGTTGATTCTGGTTTTAAGGGTATGGCCTAGAAAAAACTCAGAAATCTGCATCAGATCAGAATATTTGAGTTTTGAAAAGGGACATTCAATGCTTTCTGCGGGCCCGTCGTGAAGGATTAGTCTTCCCTCGACTTCTGACCTATTTTGGGCAAACAGCACGTTATACTTTAAGAAATTTTGCTCTAACGTTTTACCCCTAGATGAGAAGCTGACAGGTGCAGAGGTCCAGTTTGGTGTCAAACGAGTTCTAAAACTGAATACAAACCCTACCTGTGGATCACCAGTGACCGCTGAACAAGCCGCAGTGCCTGGAGGGACGATTGAAGTTGAATGCAGCGAACCAATCAGGGGGAGGTTTCTCATGATTGGTATCCCAGCCGACAATGCTACTTTGCAGCTGTGTGAGGTTCGGGTTTGGGCGATACCAATGGACCAGTGTCCTCCAGGTAAGACAAGTCAGTCTTCCTTCATTTTGTGGTGGCATCAAATCTCCACTCATGTTTAGTTATATTCTGATCCAGTTGCGAACATCACATTCATGCACGTTGGTCCTTAGCTGAAGTGTGTGCGTTGACTTTGGCTAGTCATGCCACCCATGAGGGGAAGGTAACACGCGTACCACCTGTTTTTGAACACAATTAACGAGCAGTAATTGCTTCTTAATCTAATAACCAGCCTATTTTGTATAGTTAGAAGCAATCTCATCAAATTGGCCTCAAGTAGCCCATCTGTGGATGTTGTAAATGCAGAGTGATTGTGTTTTTCCAAGAATGTTTAGATGTTGATCTCTTTTTCATGTTTATAATACAGGCGTTTCACAATAATGCGCCTCCAAGGGTTTGCAACGCGTTGACCAATCACGATGCGCGAAATCTGTCGACCATTTCCAAACGCGTATTGGGTCGACAGATTTCGCACAATATGATTGGCCAACACGTTGCAAAGTATTGGAGGTGCATTGTTGTAAATCGCACCTTATTGGCGTCAAATGTTTTGAAATGAAATGGGGAACCATGTAAAGTAAGTACTAACATGAATAAAAGTAAAATCCCAATTTTTACCAGCTATTTATTCGAATGTCATTTGTTGATCCGAAGAAAATCTCCTTTGTTTCCACTACGAGGCCATTGGACGTCGTGATTATTTACTTTCTTCCTCTGCTTTACAGAATTTACGGGTGAGACAGAATTAGATCTCAACGAAAATCCTGTAGGACAGTCCTCCGCCGTTGGAGCTGAAAGTGCTGAGGAAGCTGCCAAAAACGCTATAGATGGTCAATACGATAATACGAAGCTTCTGGGTGTAGGAGGAGAAATGTATGGCGGAAGCTGCACAATAACAAGTAATCTAAAGTGCCACGTTTTTGCGATCTGTCAAATCGGAAGAGACCTTGTAAAAGATCAAATCTTCACCCAAAGTGCAATTAGCCACCTGTAATTCCCAATTAATCTTTAAGTTCAGGATATTTCAGGAAAAAAAAACAGAGTGAAAGGACTAATCTCACTCTGACTCTTTTGAAGAGTTTAAAGATAAAATTATTGGAAATGAGGGTGAAAGTTTTGCAACAGATGAACCTGGCTGGGCAAGGCCTGGCAAACGTCATGACCAAGGGAACTGAACTACAACTCATTTTAAAATATTACTAAAATATTACTCAATACAAACCTTACGATGTTTATCTTTCTGACTGTCTGTTTCATATTCAGAACCAGAGCAGAATCCTTATTGGGGAATACGTTTCTTCAAGGAATACTGCATCAACAAAATCAGGATTTTGAATCGTGGCGACGGAGTCAGTAAGTTAGTGAGAAGCAGATATTTCATTCAACCTGCTTTTTTAATTTTGAGGTAAAGACTCGTGCATGGGTAGCAGTTAAAGAGCAACTCAAAAGAAAAACATGTTTTCTCTTATTTTTATCTGTTCAAATAAATATGGAAGCATCCAAATCGAACGCAGTGTCGTTTGTCTTCGGAGGCAACTATTACAAGGCAAAAAGGGTTTTTCTTCTGTTCATGCCAAGATGCCAATTCTGAACATGCTGAATATAGATTGCGTCATTCGGAGAAAACAGAGACAACGAGGGGAACCCTCGCCCTGTGTTTGTAGTGGATAAACCCTCGTGCATACAAAACAATGGCTACATGCAATATTTGACATGCACAAGACTGCACCATTATATACAACGAAACTGTTGATTTTTATGCACTCTATTTGACATATCTTTACATGGAGGCTAATTTACAACATTTGCATGTCAATATTTGTCCAATTGTTCAATGATTGTCATATGAAACGTTCAACCCTTGCGATGAGCAACTTCTACGTTTAAGGTAGCGCACTCTTCATGTATGTTATTAAACATTTGACTGTACGATAGCTTGAGTTATGTATTTGTAAGGATTTAAAATATGAAAGTGAAAGAGTGATTTTACTATCTCTGAATGATAGCCTAAGTTTCTCAAAAGATTGAATAAAATTAGTTTGGAAGTTGAAATCATTGAAGGCAACAGGTGATAGCCAAACCCTACATAAATATAAAAGAAGCATTTTTTGCTTACTCTTTTCCAATGGACAATGCTTCAAAACATTTCTTCCACAGGTGAAAGATTGACAGGTGCAGTGGTCAGGATTGGCTCTGAAAGGACCACTGACTTGAATAAAAACACGGCCTGTGGATCGCCAGTGACCGCTGAACAAGCCGCAGTGCCAGGAGGAACGATTGAGGTTGAATGTAGCCACCCAATCAAGGGGGATCTTATATTCATTGGAATCCCGGCTGACAATGCTACTTTGCAGCTGTGCGAGGTTCGAGTTTGGGCGGTTCCCGTTGAACAATGTTCTCCAGGTGTGCTATTACAAATGAGTCTAGCTTCGTTGTTTTTGCGACCAACGCTTTATTAATGCAGTAACAATGTTTTAGACTGAAGATGGAACCTTTATGAATACGACAAACAATCCCCGCCAGAATGGCGTCTGTCCAAACGAACTGGACGCTATA